GCTGGTTATAATTCCTGGTAATTCCTGCTGTCTTGGTACTCAACCATCACCTGGTTCAGTGGGAAATGCAGTCGCAAAGAGTACATATGTCGAACAGCATGATCGTACACTTCGCTCATTCTGGCACAGACAAAACACCTGTTACCCTCATATCAACCCTTGCTGCGCGTTTTTCGGTTGGTTGCGCCAAAGCAACATTGGGTTAATTCCTTGTTCAAGAGAATTAATAGTGAAAGCAGACAATATCCTTATTTCCATATCTTTCCTTTCTTAGGCTCGACCACAGTACATTTCTCCATGCCAAATTTCACTCATATCTTCCTAAAAGTTCGTGCTTTTTGCATCGGTCTATCCAGCTCTTCTACCGATATGGCAAGCAACTTCAAGTCGTCTCTGTAGAGCAGGTGCTACAACACTGCCCCCTTTCAATTTGCATCTTTACTTAGTGATATTCAAAAAGTGACTGGGGAGATTCAATGCTGGACAAAACAAAAGTGACGAGATTGAATCTCCCTCACTGATTCTTCACTGAACTCAAGAAAACTCTGTTACGTAGAAGTGTTGTCGAACGAGTTTTATTACGCTGTGGTCGAAGTCGCAACGCATCAGGCATTCCAGGGTCCCGTAATGTAGTACTATATCAGATGACTTTCTATAGTCGATGCAGGTCAGCACAATATTGGTCTTACTCCTCTTGCAATACTCTTGTAATTTTGCACCATGTCGTCCTAATGCACGAATAATTCGTCCTAATGACTTATTGATTCCATCCGACAGCCTTAATGTCTAGCAAAAACGATTTTGTTCGCCTGGAAATCCTTATAAGCTGCATTTGCTAATATAGACATCGGAAGTTTCCAGCTTCTTGTAAGGCACGTGATCGCGCAGTTAATCACATCACCATAGCCCCTGTTTTGATCCTTCAACACTACGTGTGTTGCTCATTTTCTTGTGAGCCAAGATGGCGGTCTTTCTTCAAGCAATCGCTGTGAGAGTACGACTATTCGCGGGTGCAACTGCATTAACCGCTTAAGCCATATCAAATGCACCTGATCCGAGCATGGTGCTGGAATTTTTTCTCTTTCTGACTGCTTCGCGCGCAATAGTTGCGGTGAATGTCATCTGTATTGGTTCTGAGAATCTATTGGCATTTTCTGGCATTTCTTTGATCCTGTTCGTTTTGTGTTGTGGGCTGTGTGACTTCCAGTATTTTTCTTCAGAACTGAAATGATTTTTCTAAGTTAGAACCAATGGTCCCGGCATCATTTGTAGATTTTTTCCTTGCCTCCAGTTTTCTGTAGAAGGTTTTTAACGTTTGAGCGAAGGACCCCTTCTGTTTGTGCCACTCTAACCTGTTCTGGTATGTCTGAGGCATTGCCTCAACAGATAACAGCCTCTGCTTTGCGTTCTCAGATGCAGCTCTAACTGTTTTGTCTGATGCAATCCTGCACTTTTCGATATGTCGTTGACATGTTACATGTTGCCCCTGTTTAGTTGTTGCGGTTGGTTTACTTCTCAGCATATTTCTTTCTGTCTGTTCTTGGTTTTTCCTAACTATGGTGGCTCTTCTTTTCTTCACAGATCTGTTTTCCGCGAGGCAGAACTTTTTTCAATATCGAAAGAACTATATCACACCATTAATGGGCTGCAGATACTAGTTGGTATCGTCTTCAAGACACTGTCAACTTGATAACATATTCACGCCGCTCTTTCTTGCCTCTGACAGGAAGGATGCGTCTTCTACGTTCTTGAAGCAATTCAAACTACTGAAGAATTTTCTGCCGAGGGAAATTTTCTTTATGATTCAGCTGGATAACATCTGTGCATCAGCCAGGTTGATCTCGGGTCTCAAATCTGTCCGGAATGAATTTATCAATATACTGAACTATTTGATCTCTTAACACGGTATTGTCACTATTAAGCGCTCTTCTGGTCTCACTTATCTCCAATTCTGTTTTCAACACATTCTTCTCAATGAACCGTTTCTGGTCCGCCAGATGTTACTCGCTTGCATCATTATGAGGGAATTGACCATTCGCCCAGCATTCTTTTTCGTTAACTCACCGCAATGCAATGGCACCTCATTAGAACCCTGTTTAGTTACTTCGACCACCCTCTGCACCCATTGCCATTCCATGGCATCCCCGGGTACAAAAAGATGTGAAACTGGTCCTGACTACCTCAGTTCGTCAAAAGCCTGCGTAGACCACCAATCCGACATAGGAACTTTTTCAATGAGTAGGTACCCACTATAACGGATAGATGGTTGATAGCATCCCGCTGCCGGTTCAAGGCTGCGATCTTCATTATCATTATGATCACCATCATCGACATTTTCATCCTCATTATACTCATTCACACCTTCATCATCATCTTCAGCATCATCATCACTGACATAAATATAATCATCTATATCATCGTCGAATTTCGTTCTATGTCTGGAGGGAAGATATGTCAACGCCTAGCATCTTATGTCCAGGTCTTGTCGGTCACTTTTTCTGCCGAGAATGATTTATAGCAACATTCAGGGTGCGAAGTTTACCGCCATGCGTCGTCTCAGCCTCCCTTTCGATCTGGAGCCCGCAATCAAACTGTGTATTGCAATTTTAGACCATAACTATTTGTTGATTCATAACTGAA